GGCGCCGGCGGCAGGTCCTCTTTAGACCACTGTTCCCTTGTGCGGTACTCGCCGACGGGTGCGTTGATTGCGGCGGCGGGCGGTCCCGGCGGCCGCCATGTGTACATCTTCTCCACGCTCACCAAGCGGCAGTTGGCGGTGTTGGCGGGGCACTACGAGGCGGTGTTGGATGTATCTTGGAGTGATGACGGGCTGTACCTGGCGACAGCCGGGGAGGGCGCGGTCTTCACTTGGGCTATGGACGGCTTCAGCAGGGTGCAGGTGCGCGCGGAGTGTGCGGGGGATTCTACCGCGAGACCTTAACGCTAAATCGAGGCCGCCAGGGGCTGATGTATGTATGTATGTATGTATTATGTATGTATGTATGACTTAGATTACACTGTGGGCCGCGAGAGCCGGGGGCCGAAGCCGAAACACAGCGCAAGGGTCGGGAGCACACAGCACACGTCGGTTAGTCTTGTGTGCTCCCGACCCCGACTCAGACTGCCAACACTCTACGCAGCCACTCCGCAGCCCCTCCATCCGGGGATGGCGCTGCATTGAATACACCACGAAGGGCTCTCAGGTCCCGCTAGAGCGAGTCCACAAGTCTCAGCTAGGGCAAAGTCAAAGGCTCTCTGAAACAACCCCCCAAAACACCACCAACGAAAACGGGATTCGAAGGGAAAACAAACAAACAAACAAAAATTCGGTTAGGGCAGTACCGGCAGGTATGTATGTATGTATGTATGTATGTATGTATGTATGTATGTATGTATGTATGTATGTATGTATGTATCGGATTGTGGGCCTCGCTGTTCAATGCATCAGCTGTGGCTGCACCCCCCAAACACTAAGGTGGCTTGCTTTCCTGCCATCCATGCTCTTGCTGCGCCCTTAGGTCTCTCTGCCATAGCCTCATCCCTTCCCCCTAAAACCCCCGTAATACCAACACCCGTTATACCAACACCAACACCACGCCGCGTCGCGTGTTGTCATCTCCCATCTGTTATCTCCCCCCTACCCGGATCCTCCTTTCATATGCTCATCACACTGAACCCTGGCGGCCCAGTCCCCCCCGGGTTTTAAATCGTGTCATGAGGGTAGCGAGATTTCGCTTTCCTGCCCTCACACATACACATACATACACATACATACACATACACACATACACACATACATACATACACATACAGATTCACGTATGTCTGTACACGGACTAGTTTTGTTTGGTAAAATTGCTCTCTTGTGCCGTCCTCGCTACTCTTTTCTCGCGGACGAGTTTTTACAGCACACTTTTCGCGCTTTACACACACACACAGGAAAACACCTCGAAGCTGTACCTCAATGACGCCATCGCCTGTACACCGGACTTCCGTACACTGGCCGTGGGCGACACCACGCAGGTACGGTACTCGATCCGTCGTAAAGCATCGTACTGTGCCGTAGACAGCGCTGCATGCAACTAGAGCGAGAGTGCGTGCCTGTATGGTGGTGTCTGCCTGCATAGCAGTGCACTTGGTAGTGTAAAAAGTATGGTAGGTTGTTGGCGGCAGGTGGCGAGGTGACGGTGATGGTGGCGAGGTGTCGAGCAAGGCATTGAAGACACACGTGTGCGGGGGTTTGGGGTGAGGGGGAATTTGGGACTCGTGTGGAGATACGCGAGAAGACGCAGCGAACGACACGAGCCCCCTTCCGCTTGTGTATCTTCATCCGCGTCACTTCCCCTCTCACCCCTATAGCCGTTTCGTTGTGTTTCGTTTTTCGTCTTCCAAAACCCTCCTTGAACCTCTTCTCCTAAAACTCTGAAAACCCGATATCTACGCAGGGATTGCGCATCATGGAAACCAACCGAACCACGGCTCAGTTGGGGCCCAACGGCGCGTCGGAGCCCGACACGCCACCCGACACGCCGGCGGACAACGCCGGCGGCAACGGTGTCAGTGCCGGCGGCGCCGCCGCCGCCACGGCGGCGGCTACGGTTGCGGCATCCCCCTCTACGCCAGGCAAGCACGGTGGCGGGAATGGCACCAGTGCCGGCGGCGCCGCCGCCGCCGGCGGAGGTGGCGGCGGCGGCGGCGGCTCCCCGGGTGCTGACGTGTTTCGTGTCCCCGGCCGGGCGTCTTTGGTTCCTATAGGCGCGGATCCGGGGGGTGGGTCGGCGGCGACGCCGGGGCATCGGAGCGGCAAGGTGCGTGTCTGTGGGGCCGTCTGTTGTTGGAGGGGTGAATGAAGGGAAGAGGGAGATGTATGTGTGTATGTATGTGTGTGTTTTGGATCGTGTCGGAGGCAACACGGCTTTGCCCTCCTGGTTCCGGGGCTTCCTCCCCCTTCCCGGCCCTGAATGAGCGGTCGTTACCCCGCCCTCTCCCCTTCCTCCCCTCTCCCCTCCCCTTTTCCCACTCGCCACTCCCCTTCATCCCCTCCCCTTCCTCCCCGCGCCCCTTCCTCCC